TATATATATATATATATAATTTATATTATATATAAATATGCATTTTTGATATATAAATATAAAATTTTTCTTAAATATATACATGTAAATATACACAGTACACATATATTATGTAAACATATAAAAAAGAAAGAACAAGAAAGCATTGACATAGCAGTTACTCGTCAACAACAGGCAGTTGTGGTGAGAGGGAGGAAATGCAGTAAAGAGAGGAAAGATGATGAAGTGGCTGCAGTGTGATGGTATAGGGACTGAACACTGTGCGCACGTGTGTGTGTGTGTGTGTGTTTGAGGTGAATCCCTACTTACTGTTCCCACTGCTGTCATATTGTGCTGTCATAACCTCTCCGACTTTAAAAACCTGCAGGGAAGGTTTTTTCTTTTCTTGATCAACTGGTGTTTTGGGCGTTTTTAGTGAATATATATTGCCAATTTTCCACAGGTTTACATAGGTGTTTACATTGTTCATGCTGGCCCAGCTAATGTGCATGCATGTTCTAGCATAAATCAACAAATTATCAAAAGACAATCGGCTCTTTTAATTTCAAGGCAGGGCTGCAGCTGCTATATTGAATTACTATTTCTCCGATTCATCTGTATACGTCTTTTCCCATCACAAAACAAGTTTATCTTTTGTAAATCCATCCGGGTTTAGCATGAGAACCATTTTGCACACTTTTATGCTATTATTACTGCAAAAGACCCCCCCCCCCCCCCCCCCCCCATTTTCAAATTGAGAAGAGTTTGGCAGGCTGAAGACTCTGGACGATCCCAAAGCACCCAGAGCTAATTACAGTAATTCCTTATAGGCCTACACACACATATACATTCACAGCCTTATATTCCATTTGACAGGATTGTCAGTCATTTCAATCATATTTAACTCTGCAGAGGCTGCTGTAAACATATTCATTCTCAAGTACATTAATAATATTATTCTTCAACTTGAATGAGTCAGTCTGAAATGACATTCAGAATGAAATGAAATTGGTTTGTTTAGTGTGGCTCTGCTGGAATAAAGGTTTGGTCAGAGATATTTTAAGGAGGAGGAGACAAACCACTCATTTAACCACTCATATAAAAATGAATAGGAGAATTCGTAACTCTGAATATGGCGACTGTAGAAATATAAGCCTTTTTTGATACTTTATTTACTCCGGAATGTGCACATGCATTGCGTTTATCCTCCTGAAAACGACAGTTTTTAAGATCAAATTCATGATATCAATGCTAAAATGTTTTTGCATGTTCTTATTTTGTAAATGGTCTTTTGAATGTTCAGTTTTTACTTCCTTTTAGTCTTTTTTATGTCAGGAAAATGAGTTAATTTATGCAAATGTTGTGCTGTGAATTGATATTTCCGAAAACTGCCATGAAACACTCTTTTCGGCTTGACCGTCCACAGTTATTTTTTCTTCTTTCACTTTCTTCTGAGCTTCTTGAAGAGGTTTTTAGAGCCAAACATCAGTAGAAAAGAAGGTCCCACCTTTCAATTAAAGGAGCCATTGACCTTATTGACATGGCTGGTCTTTACAATAGTCCTCTAGGGCATGTATTAACTGGACCAACAAATACGTTTAGCATGATTTTGAATTATATTATTATTATTTAAGATTTTATTGGTGATTGACATGTTATTGAGACACTAGCTTGGTAAGTTTTTATACTTTCACAATACTACTTTGACTACAAAATAGCTGCCCCAGTCATTTATTTATTTACTTAAATATTTTTGATTTATTTATTTGTTTACTTAATAATTTGCATATTTGTTTATTTAATTAGATACTTATATTTTTCATTATTTATTTACTTGTTTATTTTATTTATTTTATATTTAGGACATCAGGGATGTAAAGGCTTCAATCTGAGAATGCTATTTCAATATAATGAGTATGCAAATTAATAATTGATTATAATTACTATAATAATACCCTGTGTTTTACAATTATTTATTTAGCAGACACTTTTCTCCACAGGCACACTCTGAAATTATTGCAAAGCAATCAAAAGTACTTGTCCTTAATAACATTTTGAGCTTTTTAAAGTGAAACTTTATTTTTTTCCCCACTATGCTTTAAATTGTCCCTGCATTTACTGTACGTTTGTGTCCTCAGTGTGTCTTTGAAAGTTTTTAAGTTTATGCATTTAGAATCCTGCCAAAATATAAAAAATCCCATCAAACTGTGACAAAATGTTGTGATGCATCACGTAACTCAATAAAGATTCACAGCTGAATCGTTGTCAAAGCAATTATTTACACCCCTAATAAACATTTAAAGATTTTATGCTTTGTATTTTTTGTTTTGGTCCAGGTCTGCTCATCTGTCCAGTGAAGACCTGTCCACCAGCGTGTCCTTGCAGCTGTTTAACGGAGAGACGCAGCAGCTGACCATCACCCTGGAGAATATCGGCACAGAGATGCTGAACACGCTGGAGCTGACGTCTAAAACCCTCAGCACTAAAGGTACACGCAGCACACAATCTGAATGCCGTCCTGCTCTTTATCGAGCGGTAAATGCCACTGCGTTTTTGAGACGACGCACGTCCTGTAATGGGACAGAGGTTCAAAGGCTGCGCTGATTGCTGTGAGTTCGTAATAGAGTCTGTGCATTAGTCTGATCACTCGAGCCCATCTGAGATTTCTCAGTGACTCCACTGTTTTGATGTGCTCTCTCTTTGAATAAAGACGTCTGCTTTTATGCACCTCTGTCTCTGCGTCTTTGAGGATGGAAAATAAGACTGTGCAGTGCTCTTAGTGGTATTCCACACACGCGAACGTGAAAAGCGTTGTCTTTGGACTGTGTGTGTGTGTGTGTGTCTCCTCTAATCCCAGACCGCTTTCAGGATCGGTGACTGAGCAGGTGGCCTCTACAGGCACAGACACACACACACACACACTGTCTTTGCTTTGAAGTTGTTGTGGAGGTGTCCTTTAACTGAGCCGTGTCTGTGGATTTACTTTTGTAACACATTACTTTTACATTTACAACAAAATATCTGAGTAACTTTTTTTTCTTTCTCATTTATCGACTGACAGCTTTTCTTACCTCATTGGGAGTGAGGTGCAGAGACGCTTCCTTCAGCCTGAGGCTTATTAATTTCGCTTTTGGTGTAAAAGGACCTTTACAGTTGCCAAAATTATCACTTTGGGGTTTTTTGTTATTAAAAAAACAAATAAGCAGGCCCAGTCCAGGTGACAGAAAGTAATGCAAAAGTAACATAATGCATTACTTTCAATAAAACGTAACTAAGTAACGCAATCAGTTACTTTTTTAACGGAGTAACACAATATTGTAATGCATTACTTTTAAAAGTAACTTTCCCCAAAACTGTATGTATCTTGTATGCTTATTTATATTTGTTCATAGTGTGTATAGTGTGTTTGTATAGGAATCACAGGAATTACATTTATATTTTAAATTGTAAAATTCTTTCACAATATTACAGTGTTTTTACTGTAGTTTTGATCAGATCAATGCAGCTTTGAGCATAACAGACTTCTTTACATAAAACATCCTTTCAAAAACAATCTTACCAACACCAAACATTTGAACAGTAGTGCACATTCTTTAAGTTTTATTATTTTCAGCCACAGTGCTTTAATTTAGCAATTAATGACCCTACACAAGCATTGAGCAACCACAACTTATAATGTTAAATATCTCCATCCATCCATCCATCCATAAATTATTTTTGAAGCAGTTTTTCACATGCTTAGGTTGAAGTTTGGATTAGGAAACGTTTGAAATCATTTAAAGGAGTCATGAACTATTATTTTGTACTGTTCTCTGAGGTCCACTTACAATGTTATCAAGATTTTTACCTAGAAAAACATCATAATTTAGAAGTAATAGGCTATTTTCTGTGCTGTTTTGACCCCCCTCGTCAGAAAGCTCAGTTTGAATAGACGTGGCGGATTGTAGACTCAGAAGTAAACGCCCACTGCTATGATTGGCTAACAGTTGTGTATGTTTGACAGCCTAGCCTTCACAGATGGTCGCTGCTGTGATTTAGGTTAAAAACACATAAATACTCGATCTTTAATAACAGACAAAGCAATAGTGATCACGTAATAAAAACAGCTACTCACACTTGTGTGGTGCGACATTACTGTCAGATCCAATATAATCAGCACAGCATCGTCATTTAGTTTCAGTCGTTCTGAAAATCCTGCATTGAATTGTGCCTTGTTTGTAAACTAATGTGCGGTAAAATTAAGTGAACAAAGGACCAAGTTCTTACCGACGCGGTCTGGATCTTCATTAAAAATAAAGTTCATCCACTGACCACTCTTTCCTAATGTTGAGATCAGAAAGAAGGCAGAGCAAAGACTGTTTTTCCACAACTTGGCACTGCACAGCACCTTCTTATCTTCGGAGCCATATTTATCGTTTAGTTTCTGTGTAGATCTGCATTTGCCTCTCTCGTTATTTACACTACGTGCGTGAATCGGTGAGCGGGGCTAAACAGGCAGTGATGTAGAAGTAGGCGTTGATCTTCTTCTGCAGAGGCGGGGTTTAGCCACAATATTACGTCACAAAGTGGCTCATTCCACAAGCTGTCGTTTTGGCTGATTGGCTTCAATATAAGCTGTTTTAGATGAACGTGAAAGTTTTGAGTTCTGAAACTTACAGGATGTTTTTATAGTACAGATTGGTTTCCAATGTGTTATTTAGTTGTTGCTAAGTTGTTGTGGTTGCTTGGTGATTGCATTAAAAAAAAATCCACCCTCAAGTCTCTTTGATATTCTGCTCTCTAAATATGACTCGGGATCCTCCTGCAGTGTAAATCTGTGGGAGTTTTCCGTCTTATTTATTGTCTGGCTGGTGAACATTGTAAAGTCTGCAGAACGAGTTATACTCTGGAGTTTAATAGTTAAAGTTTAAGGTTTGTTCAATTCACTGACCTAAAATATGAGCAATAGTAATAGTGATGCTTGACTTAGTAAACGGCACTAATAAATAAATAAAACCACTCAAATTTATTGCAAAGAGGACGAAATACATCTGAGAGAAAATGTTCAAAAATGTGTTATGAGAGGAATGATTTTTTATTTTAGTGTGACTCTTTCCTAATGTTGAGATCAGAAAGAAGGCAGAGCAAAGACTGTTTTTCCACAACTTGGCACTGCACAGCACCTTCTTATCTTCGGAGCCATATTTATCGTTTAGTTTCTGTGTAGATCTGCATTAGCCTCTCTCGTTATTTACACGTAATATTACGTCACAAAGTGGCTCATTCCACAAGCTGTCGTTTTGGCAGATTGGCTTCAATATAAGCTGTTTTAGATGAACGTGAAAGTTTTGAGTTCTGAAACTTACAGGATGTTTTTATAGTACAGATTGGTTTCCAATGTGTTGTGTAGTTGTTGCTAAGTTGTTGTGGTTGCTTGGTGATTGCATTAAAAAAAAATCCACCCTCAAGTCTCTTTGATATTCTGCTCTCTAAATATGACTCGGGATCCTCCTGCAGTGTAAATCTGTGGGAGTTTTCCGTCTTATTTATTGTCTGGCTGGTGAACATTGTAAAGTCTGCAGAACGAGTTATACTCTGGAGTTTAATAGTTAAAGTTTAAGGTTTGTTCAATTCACTGACCTAAAATATGAGCAATAGTAATAGTGATGCTTGACTTAGTAAACGGCACTAATAAATAAATAAAACCACTCAAATTTATTGCAAAGAGGACGAAATACATCTGAGAGAAAATGTTCAAAAATGTGTTATGAGAGGAATGATTTTGTATTTTAGTGTGTTGTTTTATGTAAGAAGGCTTGTTAAGCTTGAGCGGTTCTATCTGATGGGACATGCTATCTGAAATAAGAAAATAACCAATGTCTCTTCAGACATCCTTTTTGGGTTTCTCTACTGTACATGCAGGAAAAGAAAAGAAAAACAAACAAACATCAGTTTACTGTTGAAACGCAGACTGGATTACTTTCCAAATGTAGTAAATGGTTGCATTGTCATGTTCCTGTTAGTCTCACAGAGCTGATCTTTTGGCTATTGGCAGGTCTAGTCAACTTTGCAGGTCCACTTTGAGTTGTTTACTTAAATCAAATGTATTTGTTCACACCTGGCAAAACATTGGCAAAAAACACCAGTGTTGGTTATTAATGCTGAATGATATGGATTAGATGCATCCCTATAGAGGTTTACTCACTCTACTGAGTATTTCATGACGAGATTTTTCAAAACATCTTTAGGGTGAGTTCACACACACACACACACACTTGTTTGTATATCATCTCTCTCTTTTGAGAGTTGAAATGCCCAATAGTAGAACGAGCGAGCGAGAGAGAGAGAGAGTGAGATGATCTTCTGAAGGCTGCAGCAGAACTATAAATATCATGTCTATCCTACTAACTGTTGACATGGCCAAAGGAAAAGAAACCAGGGGAGAGAAAGAATATCCATGAATCGTATTCCATTTGGCTCTGGAAATGTCAAAGCGCTTGCTGTCTCTGCTGTGCATAAACCAGGATCTCCAGACACTAACTAGCTCACCTGTCTCACCTAAAACATCTTGGGTTTTATAACTAAACATTTTTAAATATAAAAAAATACTTAGTCTCTAAGGATCCAGGAACTGGCTGTTGTTATTATTATTATTATTAGAGGTCAAGCACTGAAGATTTTTTTCTGGGCACAATGACCATGATTGAATTCTCATAAGGTCACTTTAGCCCTACATGTACTTACAGTAGTCTTTTTTTTCTTTCTGTTCTCACTCTCTCTTTTCCTCTCGTATTGCCGGAGCAAATTGTCCCCGTGGCAAATGACCCTCATGTGGAAATCAAAGTGATTTTTTATTGCGGCATGAAGCCAATGATGATTTCTTCCTTGATGAGCCTACAGGTCTGGACCTGTGGGCTCATCATGAGCCACCAAACACAAGTCTCAAACATCCACAATTATAATGTCCTGTCTGCTTTTCGGACTCATTACAGAACAACGCTCCAATAACCTCTCCAATGGGCAGCGCATAAAGCCTTTTAGGGTGTTTTTAGCATGAATGGTATGATATATATGTTTTTGTGTTTTGACACTCTTTTGGTTAGAAGTCGTTTGGTCAGAGTCGTTCACATGCAGGTGCTAAACTTGCTGCAGTTAGTGAATAAAATGGCCAAATGATTCAGATTGAAACATGAACTGATTTAGACTGAATAGCTAATTGTTCAGACTGAACCATGAACTTATTCTGACTAGATCTCAAAGCAGTTCAGACTGGATCATAGTTTGATTCGATATGAATCACACTGATTTAGGCTAAATTGCAAACTGATTCGGACTGATACTAACACCTTTTGGACTGAATCACACATGTAATCTTTATGTAATTAAAATCATTATTAATGCTCTGTATTATTGCTAGTTACTTTAATGCATTTACACCAGGATTTTTGCTGATATTGTCCAAAACCCCACATTGCCTATGGCATTGACAAACTTTTAGAGTCAGGTTAG